CTTGAAGGTATTTAAATAGCTCCACTTCCCAAGTTCAAGAACTACCCTGCAACTGCAGGGAGCTGTCAGCGCCTGGGGAATGAGGGGGGAGGGGAGCTGAGTGCATGTGAGCTTCAGGGAGCATCGGCCAGAATGTCTGCCTGGCGTCCACGGAAGGAAACGGGTGAACCCTCTGGTCTGGCGGGCAAGCACAAGAGAGACAAAACGCACCGGGGGCCCCTCATTTTTGGTTTTTAAAGGGGACGTGCCAGTCACAGGCCCCGGGCTGGGGGCACCGCAGCTGCAGCGTGGAATATGCACAAGGCTAATCACAGGGCTTCAGAGGACAGAAGCAATAGGCACCGCTATGGGGGAGAAACACACACACCAGACACACACACATGCACACACGCACGCATGCACGTGGGAACCGCTTCTGAACACCTCCCCGGGAGGCTGGGGCGGAGAGGCAGAGTGTAAGGCAGCGGTTCTCAATCTGTGGGTCTCAACCCTTTCACAGGGGTCGCCTAAGACCATCCTGCATATCAGATATTTACATTACGATTCATAACAGTAGCAACATTACAGTTATGAAGTAGCAACAAAAATAATTTTGTGGTTGGGTCGCAACATGAGGCACTGTATTTAAAGGGCCAGAAGGTTGAGAACCACTGGTGTAAGGCATGGCTAGCCCCAGCTGTCACTTTCCCAGTCATTCTGCACGGGCCCCAGTCAAATGACTAGATCTGTGAGTAAGGAGAAAGCTTATTTTAAATGGAATGAACCCATGGGTTTAGTGTGGGATTTTGGATAATGTGAAACTCTTAGAGAAATGCCACTAAGACAAGGGGGAGCAGTAAAAATGCGCTTTCAATTGTTGACAGATACAAAATAAGATACACCTACTTTCAGGAAAACTTTTACTGCAGAAATCAGAAGCAAACTTGGATTAAATGTACCACGTGGTTGAAATAGTCATTTTGGAGCCTGAGTTCCGGGATGACAGCACTCCAAGATCTCCTCACTCAGAGTTCAGGGGAAATGACTAATCCCCGAAGTTTACGGTGTGGGAGGGCTTCCTGACGGTTTAATAAGTTTATAATTTTTATTCAAAAAGAAACACTCTGAGCTCTTCAAGCGTTATAGGTGGTTTCAAAGCAGAGAGCAGTATCAAAACGGAATGTTACATTTTGCATGAATTTTGAAAATCTCATAGTCTTTACATAAAGTCAGGGGGAATGAGGCTGAATTGAAAAGTTTAAGGGTAAACAAACAAAAAACTCTAAAATTACAATTTACCCTGTGGATTATATTCTTGTGAGACACATAAGATACTTATTTTATAAAGTTGAGAAGCTGTTTAAAGTTTTAACACTAGTAAGGAACAAACCCTGGCTGGTTTGGCTCAGTGGATACAGCATCGGCCTGTGGACTGGAGGGTCCCAGGTTCGATTCCAGTCAAGGGCACACGCCCGGGTTGTGGGCTCGCTCCCCAGTTGGGGGCATGCAGGAGGCAGCCGATCCATGATTCTCTCTCATCATTGGTGTTTCTATCTCTCTCTCCCTTCCTCTCTGAAATCAATAAAAATATATTTAAAAATAATAATAATAAGGAACAATTTATTGAGTGTTTGCTGTTTGCAGGCCTTAGCTTGGGATCAACTTGTGAAGTTACAGGCGGTGCTGTTTTAATTCTTCAGATTTACAAAACAAGGCATTGGCCAGGGCAAGACCCGAATCACTACCAGACGCACATCTGATTTTCCTTTGCCTTTAGTACAAAGGTTTTCCTTGTAATGATGACTTTATGTCGCTCAGGAAATAGCCCTCAGACCCCAGCAAAACCAATAGCAGCCAGGTGAAGTGAGGTCAAAGTGCCCACCCTCAGCACCACGCCAGCGGTGACACAGCAGCCATGTGCGCCCCTGGCCCAGCGCTGTGCTTGGTGCTTTATGTCTGGATGTGTACCTGTGTCTCTCTCTAAATTTCCAGTTCCCACAGCAATCCCACACACGGTGTTAGACATGTCCTTACACAGGGAGAAGCTGGGGTTTGCGCCCACGGTTACGAAGCTACATGGCAGAGTGGATTCAAACCTGCTTCTCTCTGAATTCCCAAGTGGTTTTTACTGCACATTCCCTGGGTCATCAACAAAGGGACAGGCTGGAACCAGAGTCAATCAGGATTGGGGGTGGGGAGAGCACCACACTTGTTTCATTCATTCATTCATTCATTCATTCAACAAATACATATTGAGCGCCTCTGTGTGTCAGATGAAAGAAACACATTCAATGGATAAAGCAGTGGTCAAGAGCTACAGGAATCAGAGCATGAGGAGCTGGGGTTGAGGTTCAAGTTCACTAGACCAGCACAGGGTAAGCTGACAGACCAGCAGCAGGATGTAGGGGGCCCCGGGAACAGGGCACAGGTAAACCCACTCACCTGCCCAGTACGCCCACTTCTCCTTGGGGATTTAAAGATTAACTTTTCCCCCAAAGGTTCCCATCATAACTACTTGTCCTGGATTTTTTAGCAGTAGATGTAAAATACTGCACTTGTAAGATCTTCGGTTTTGCAACCAGAAATACCTAAGGTGCGACCCTAGCTCTCCCACTCCCCAGCCATTTAAACACTCTGTGGACTGGTTTCCTCATCTGTAATTCCTGACTCCAGCTGTTGTGAGAATGAAATCATATTTACCGAGAATACAGCACCCCTTTCCCTTTTATCCACTTCAATTTCCTGAGTTATTCCTCAGAAAGCAAGATAATTAATCAATAATCAATCACAAAGCAATCTTAAAATATGGTATTGTAAACCCCAGATCAATATAATTTTTCTTAAATTATATAATTCAGTTGGTTTGTTTCTAACAATTACCTATGCTTGGATCTATGTGAGGCAAATCAAACATTTCTCGTTAGGAACAGCTCCTGTTGGTATTTTATAAATCTCTTTCATGACAAAATCACATGGGTTTCCTTGTCAGACTTCCTGAAAATAGCTGGCATTGTGGGTCCTGAGCCTTCCCCTACCCATACAAGATATTTAATTAGTATTTGCAGCCTGGCCGGTGTGGCTCAGTGGTTGAGCGCCCACCTATGAACCAGGAGGTCAGGGTTCAATTCCCGGTCAGGGCACATGCCCGGGTTGCGGGCTCCATCCCCAGTGTAGGAGCGTGCAGGAGGCAGCTGATCAACGATTCTCTCATCACTGATGTTTCTCTCCCTCTCCCTTCCTCTATGAGATCAATAATTAGTATTTGCTAAGAAGGAGCACGTGTCAGAGCAGTTCTCAGTGGCTATAGGAGCCCCTGCCTGCCTGTGGGCAGAGAGAAGTGGAGTCCTAAGCCTCCGGGTTGCCCCCAAAGACTCAGGGATGGGGATTCTATCGCTAAGCCAGCTCACTGATGGAGGAACCCCAGGTAGGACTCAGAGTGATTACATGCTCTGATCCACTAAGAAATCCTTTCTGAATGAGATGCCTAAGTCAGTAGACGAGCTGCTGGGCCATACTGCTTGCTCTGTGCAGATCGAAGTGAGTTTCAGAAAAACACAGAAGGGAAGCTACGCAGGTAACTTTCTCCTTAGGTTATAGGGTAATGTGACATTTGATATCTAGCTAATTACGTGAATGTTGCCTTTGATGGTTCAGTTCAAAGGATGCTGTCCAATAGCGCTCATTTACCAGAGGGACCCACTGCTCAAAACAGGTCAAATAAATTTCTCTGAGATTACAGTTCTTGCCAGAGCTGAGAGGGGAACTCAGGCTTTTTACAATGTGGAATATAAAATCATTCATTCATTGAGATAATCCTATTACAAAGTGTGCAGAAAAAATTCAATAAAATCCCAATCAGTGGGTTTCTAAAAGAGTAGTGTACATATAAAATGCACGGTGGCTAGCTCATTAAAATAAAATACTTTTAGAAAGGGAAGGAAAGGATGGTTTTAGTTTATTTATTTCAAAGTATCACCTTCCATTCTATAGATACACATTCCAACTATTATTATTTGACCTAAAGATGGCTTTTGTCTGTGTACAGCTAAAGAGAACTGTGATAATGGATGGAAATGTTACACGTAACAACATAAGACTTGGAAACTGCTTGACTCATCTGCATCCTTTGTTACAAGGGTTGCCATCTTGACCTTTGTGTTGTGAAATTTCCTAGTTTTCAATCCTAACCATTAAAAAAGTCAAATAACAGCACAGATTCATAATTATGAAAAGAACACCCAGGTATATGTATGGACGACTAAGAAGATGTTCATACAGAGGAAACATTTCCCAGGAAATATATCACCACACACAGGAGTCCCCCCTTATCCATGGGGATATGTTGCAAGACCTCAGTGGATGCTTGAAAAATCTGTTTCTTCGTGTACATTCAGACCTTTGATAAAATTTAATTTATAAACGGGGCACAGTAAGAGATGAACAGAACTAATAATAAAATAGAGTAACTATAACAATATACTATAATAAAAACCACATGACTGTGGTCTCTCTCTCTTCCAACCTCTCAAAATACCTTATTATCCTGTGCTCCCACTTTCTCTTAAAGGAAGCACTTAGGACTTCCCTGTGGCATGTCCGAATTGCCAGCAGCACTAGTTTGGTGCTTTAAGGCCATCATTAAGTAAAATAAAGGTGACTGCCCAGCCAGCGTGGCTCAGTGGTTGAGCATCGACCTAGGAACCAGGAGGTCAAGGTTTGATTCCTGGTCAAGGCACAAGCCCAGGTTATGGGTTCGGTCCCCAGTGTGGGGCGTGCAGGAGGCAGCTTATCAATGATTCACTCTCATCATTGATGTCTCTCTCTCTCTCCCCCTCTTCCTTCCTCACTGAAATCAATAAAAATATATATGTAAAAAAAAAAGAATAAAACTATGAACAAGGGGGGACTACTATATCTAATTTTGACATTCGGCTGTAAAATAGTGGAAATGCTGTGCTTTAAAGAAAAATTACAGAATTTAAACAAACAGTGCTCTGAAAGTATTACATAATATCACGTACCTGCTCTTTTGAGAGATTTGTTCCAGTTTCTTGGCTAACGTACAGCACTCTTCCTTTAACTTTGTCAAAAATGCATTCTGGGAGGTCAGCAATGAATACTGTTCACTTTCTAGAAATAACAATAACCCCCCACCAACATAAGATGTTTATGGCTGGAGCTCTGCAGTGCTTCCATATGTAGAGTGTAAACGCGCTAAGACGCTACCCACGTCCCATATGCTACGAGGTCACGTTCAATGTCCTCAGTCAAAGGGCTGCTCACCTGGTGAGACTCTGAATCTTGCGAGACAGTTATTTTTCGAAGAATTACTCACCAGAAACATTTCTGATCACACCAGCGTGGTGTCATGTTTCAACACGTTACTAGATTACTCAATACCCCAGTGGAGTCATATATGCTTATATCTTGTAATATGCAAGATATGATATTTTTATTTGGACAATTTTACTATAAAGTGTCAACAATTATTACAATCAGATAACTCAAAACTGAGGTATTGAGGAACTCTCTTCTATGCTGTCATTCATGCTTGATGTTTCATGTCTGCTCGCATATTTCATTACCCACCCTGCCAACCTTGCATATGAAGGTCAAATATGTCATCTCATTTCACTGTCAACAGTATGAGCCTCAATGAAGATCTGGTCAAAGAGATTGAAGAGAGTGTGGTATTTTTGTGCAACGTAAGAGGAAGTGTTGTTAAGATGGTTCTACAGTTCCATAATCTTATCTTGCTCGGGGATCGGCCCAACTCCATGACCACGAGGATCCTGCTAGCAGTAGAGGCAAACAATAACTTAGCCTCTAATTTCCTCCTTTTTTCTTTTCATGGAAAACATCTAATAAGTCTGGCAAATTTTCATTTTTTGTGTGACACATTCTAGTAGGAGAAAGTCTCTAATAAAGTTGCTGGAGGAAATTACGTGACTCAATACAACGTTTGCCTCTTCCTAAGTAAAGAGATTATTTAATGAATGGCACGTTAGCCATGTTTCAGCTTAGAGAATGTGCGGTAAATTTTGACCAAGCCATCAAATCCCGTGGGCAGTAAATCAGGTGCAAATCACCTTTAAGTGTGAGGCTTCCGAAGGCCCTTTATTTCTTTTCCCTTGGAGCAGAAAGCACTCAAAGCACAATAAATCAAAGCACTGGAAAGTAAGCCACATTTTTCTGCAAGAGGCGGATCAATGAAACTTTTGTTTACCGGGACGATCAGCCTGGAGGATGTGGCGAGGAATCGTAATGAGTTGCCCCAGCCCTGTTGTGACTAACACTGTCTGCGAACACACAACTCAGAAGTGCAAAGACCCGCACCCCACCCCGACTGCACAAACCCAACTGCCTGTTTCAAAGGGCATTTTCCTTTCGAATGAAAGGTAAGGAGTTGCTGGCCAACTCGGCCTGCAGAACAGCGCCAACGCGATGAAAGATGGCAATTTTTAGCCAAGCTGCCAGCTGTGGTCAATGCCTTGTATTAGTGAATTTCCACAGCAGTTGGGAGAACTTGAAGAATGCCACGGATTACACATCACCCGCAACTGGGCTGGGGGGCAGGCGGGGGCGGCGTCCAAATGCTAAAAATGTTCGAAGCTGCAAAGATTAAATAAAGGAACGTATCCATTTGGAGCCGCTGAATGACATCCAGCTGCGACAGTGAATTAAGAACCGATTAATGGCGAAAGCTTTTCTCCAGTTTGGATGCGGAAGCAGACTCATTAGGCTCTTAGAGGCGCTCTAATGCGTGGTCTGTGGGAGCCGTTCCTCGCTATTCAGGAGACTTTAACGGGGAGCTCGGAGCGCTTCCCGCAGAGCGTCGGATGCTATTTTCTTTCTGTAACATGTGTGCCCGCGAACCCAGCCAAAAACAAGCCCTTTGTTTTTCTACTTTGTTGTGGTCCCTCTCAGCTCTCCGTTCCTTGCACACAGGTAAATAAACTCATAATCCAGATGGTGCAGCAGATGTGAGAGCAGCATTCCGAAATCAACAGACAGTGGGCACTGCTTCCCGCTCTCCCTCTTAAACGCTAACTAATATGTAATTCGGAATCTCCGGTGTAGTTAGCATCTGCTCCCTTCGGCCAGCCAAAGGTTACAGGTGTTCCTGATGTCATTTCACAGTGAGGCGTGGGCCCGGCTGGCGGGCGCGGGCCCCGCTCTGGCCCCCCCGCCCCCCACCTACCGGTCCTGTCATGCTGGGCCTCCATTTGCTGCATCTTCTGTGTCAGCTCCTGCTCCCTTTGCTGGGCCTGAAGGGCTTGGGCCTTGGCCTCGCTGCTGAAGCTCTGCTGAATGGTCTCTTTTTCCAGTCTGCGAGGCAGGGAGGAGACAGAAGTTAATCCACAGATGCACGCACCCCCATTCCTTCCCCACGGGCCACAGGGAGCTGAGATGCAGTAAATTGTTCAGCATAAGAAACAACAGTCTTTCCACTCCCCCCACTCCCCCCGCAATTAGGGGGAAATCCAAAGGACCTTTCATACAATGTGAAGTACAGCCCGTCCATCCAAGTGGACTCAGGACTCAACTTTCCACATCAAAAAATCATGACAACTGAGGGATGGTAGTTGGTAACCTTGAAACACAAACACCTTCTGCTGTAACTTTTCCTTGAATCCTCACCCGAGGATATTTTCCCATTGATTTTTAAAGAGAGTGGACGAGAGGGAAAGGCAGAGAGAAATATCGATGTGAGAGAAACACATCAACTGGTTGCCTCCTGCACGAGCCCCGACCAGAGCCCAGGCCGGGGAGAAGCCTGCCACCAAGGTACGTGCCCTTGACCGGAACCAAACCCAGGACCCTTCGGTCCATAGGCTGACGCTCTATCCACTGAGCCACACCGGCCAGGGCTGCTATAACATTCTTCATGTGTTGTGGCCCTGGTGAGTCTTTTATCTGATGACTGGTTACTATTTCCCAAAGGTCCTGGAGCTAAAGGAACAGCAGGGCTCAATACGCCCAGACTGGAATTCTGGAAACAAAGCTTTGCAGGCCACTTCCACTTCCCTCCCAAAGGAAAATGGAATCACAAATATAACGGCGGAGCTTCTATCTGGAGGCAAGTAAAGGATGTGCATGTTTTGTGGAATATTTTCGCCCATCAGCCACATCATGTGAACATGTATGAAATGAATCACTTGCCCGGCACTTCATAATAGAAGCCCCTGTGGGTCACACGGAGAGAAACTGCAGGATAAGACGCTTTCTATGCTATAAAGACAATCGCCCATCCCACTGTGATTGGATGGAGACCCGTCCATTGGGCCCAATGGTCACTCTCCAATCACAGTGGCTCCTAAAGAGAGAAACTTCCTGAGCTAGAACCTGAGGATGCAAAGGACCTCATGGCAGGAGGCACTGTGGATGCTGACACTGTGCGTGCACGCACACACACACACACACACGTGTGCTCCATATACACACGCTCACACACACGCTCACATACACATACACACCCAAACTCACATACGCATACTCACACTTACATACACACACAATGCTCACACACACACTCACATACACTCACACACACACACATGCTCACACACACACACGCTCACACACATGCTCACATACACATACACACCCAAGCTCACATACACATACTCACACATGCTTACATACACACACATACACTCACACACACACACACATGCTCACACACATGCTCACATACACACTCACATGCTCACATGCACACACACACATTAGGTTGGTTCTTCATACTCTAAATCTGGGTGAGTGAGATGAGGGTTTCCTTCAATTAACCAACTTAGCTCTTCCTAACGCCGATCCCCTTGCGGGCACTTCTCCTCCATGCTGCTTCAGTTTACTAACTGAGATACTGACGGCCTTGCCTTTGCCAAACTGAAAATAAACAATTGCATAAAGCGATCTCTACTGGCGTATGTACCGCTGTGGGACCTCCGTTCGCTGGCTTCTAATTATAGAGCAACATAAGGAAAGCCTGCATTGAGGCCGGTCAACGCGGGGGGCAATGTTGTGGTGGAAAATTCCAGAAGGAAAATACACCCACACCTCACTCAAGCAGAATCACCAGGGGTCCTCCCTAACGTGAGGAGGGTCCCTTCCGGCGTTTCGAGTGACAACACCCCCTTGGGTTTGCTCCAAGGCCTTGCCTCGCGCTCAGTTCCAAACTCCTGTATTTAACAAACGGACAGATGAGGCCATGCTTTCCTCCTCAGTCACACCACGGCTTTCCGGCCATGGATCATTGCACGTGTCTCTCTCTGTTTTCCTGGGCTCTCTCCCCCCAGCCCTTTCTCACCCCCCATCCCAGCCCCTGGCCCCCCGCTCAGTGTACATCACTCCTTCAAGCCTGCTCAGAATTCTCCCCTCTCCTTCCATTTTTATCTAGTGAACTATACCCTGTCTTCAGTGTCTTCATATATGGTGTGCGTGCAGACATCCTCCTAAGGCGGCCTTTATTGCACTTCTGTTACTGCTCTACACATGTGCCTTCTTTGTCATCTTTGTCTCTCTGTCCCTGAGCCCAGCTCAGTCCTTGGCACATGGCGCCTAGGAAATGGGCAGCGAGTGTTCCATGAACGAATGTCCTTCTGCCCTGAGCACAGGGGAGGCAGCTGCAGTCTTGAAGGGAAGCCGGAGGGCCTGCTCGAGTCTTAGATGAGGAGGCAAACACTCCGTTAGACAGTGGCTGGAAGAGGCGGCTCTCATGGCAGCTGGGGCTGATGCTGCTGAGAGCTTTGTGGGCTCTCACTGAGTCAGATCCCCACGCCAGACCCGAGTTAGAGCTGGGGTACAGGCAGGGAGACCTGGGCTCTGTGATCTCTAATAACTGGGTGACCATAAGATGCGTTGTTAAAACCAATACCCACTGGAGGGGGGAAGGGCAGGATTAATCATTACACAGAGACAACAGTCATATCGGGACTCCCCTTTGCAAACTGGGGCTCTGTTTCCCTTCACAAAGGGGTTGCCAGTCTCTCATCAATGTTTGGAATGAGAAAGTGCCTAAGTACTGAAATCCGAAATTCAATGCAGAAAAGGAACCATGATTACTGTGGGTCTCCCAATAAAACAATCTAAAGGAACGCTCCACCCACAAATGCTGAGTTCACATCAACTTTTGTTTCTTAAATCCTTGTCCAACGTTCACTCTATTTGAAAAACTACACCTTTTATTTTTCATGGCGGAGAACTTGGCACATTTTTGCTTTCCTACCTCCTTCTCTTCCCTTCCTCCCATGTTGCCTTCTCCCCTTGCAGGTTTGTTCTGACTTAGCAGATTTTTTATAAAACCTTAAAATGCGAGAATTGAAAGGGAATCTCAAATCCGTTTAATCAAAGCCTGTCACGTTATAGTTGAAAATAAAAGAGGATCCTAAATAATTCAAAATCTGCTCAAAGGTCATGCTGTAAGTGATGTAAAGGCAGAGGTGAGATTGAAATATTTTGATTTAAGGAAACCTATTTTTTAAAATATATTTTTATTGATTTCAGACAGGAAGGGAGATGGAAAGAGAGAAACATCAATGATGAGAAAGAATCATTGGTTGGCTGCCTCCCACACGCCCCATACTGGGGATGGAGTCCACAACTGGTATGTGCCCTGACCAGGAATCGAACCGTGACTTCCAGGTTCATAGGTCAACCTCCAGGTTCATAGGTCGACGCTCAACCATTGACCCATGCCGACTGGGCAGGAAACCATTTTATAACACTCTAGGAGTAATGCATTAATGGATTGAAAGAATTAATAAAAAACAACTAACTTAACTCTGGTGCCGTGTCACATATAGAAATTTTTTGAGATTTGCAACCATAGTAAAACAAAGACTTATATTTTTGATATTTATTTTATATATTTAAATCCCATTTAACAAAGAAAAATCAACCCAAAAAATGAGTTCGCGTTTCACCTCTGACATGGGTGTCATAGGTTCGCCATCACTGCTCTAGGAGTAATGCAATAATGGATTGAAAGAATTAATAAAAAACAAATAAATTAGGCACCCAAGGAAGAAATTAGAGAAAATGTAAATGAATTCATTTAATATTTATTATGACTCTATTATATGAAAGATACTCTACTAGGCACTGGGTCAAATAAAGGTAAATATGGCGTAGTCCTTATCCTAAAAGGACTACGGAGAGAAGGTAGGAGAGAAATACACTACAATAAAGAAAAAAACATAGAGAAATGGGAGGTTATTTCCAGCTGTGGTTTGAGAGACTCATGAAGAAGAGCTATCAGTCCTCCCGACTGGTTTTCATTCAGTCCTCAGACACGGGTGATCTCATTTAACCAGACTGGTGGTTGCCCCTATTTTACCAATCAGAATGAAAGCGGGGTGCGGGGGGCGGCAAAGAATTTCTTTGTGGTTGTTAAAATGAGACTGAAAGATTTATTCATAATCGCTGAGAACTGGAAACAACCTAAATATCCACTAAGTGCTAAATGGATAAACAAAGTGTGGTAGAGACTCACAACTGAACACTCGCCAGAGCAGCAACACAAAGGGACGAGCTCCGAGAACCGACGACACATGGATGAACCTCAAAAGCATATCCTTAAAGAACCCGGGCACCAAAGACGTCTTGTAGGGTTTCACTTATTGACATTCTAGAAAATTACACCCTGAGTGACAGATCGCATTGCCAGGACCCGAGATAGGGGATGGGCACCAGATAGAAAGGTGCTGATAGAAATGTTCGGTATCGTGATTATAATGGTTAAAACTGTGCAATCTGTCAAAATACATTTAATTTCGCACTTAAAATCATGGATTTTTGTGATATCTACATTGATCTCCATACAGCTGATTTTTTAAAGGAGCGAATACACTAAAAAGAATAGGAACATCCCTTTCCTCCAAGTTACCCATGTTGCCTGCAATCACATGTGCATATATGGGCCACCTCCGTGTTTTCTTGTTGACAATTAAGCATGAAAAGGTGTCATCGGGGCCTGGAGAGGCCTCACACATGGACTAAGGAAATACAAGGGTTCAGTCGCTCCTTTTTCCAATAAGACCATGTAAGCAACCTATTCCACATCAAACTCACCTACTAGTGTCACAGCCAATGGCGACTTTTCTACTCTAACGTTCTTCTTGTTCATTAGTTAATATTGTGCTATAAGGAAGAGTTTTCCCTCCGCCCTGTATTAACTCACTGATATCCGCATGGAGTCATGGATAATCCATGAGGATCATTATTTATTTTTATGTTCATCTCACCCCAGATTTGGCCCATGGGAACCACTTTCAGCTGGTTCCTGCCTGACATCTCTCCATTATTCTCGTGTCCTTCTAGGCTTTCTA